AAAGAAGTGACGAGGAGGTGAAATGCTACATCATTTTGACACAGTTACCGTGAACTCTCAAGAACTCGAATGCGTATATAGTGTTAAATTGCTAGGAGTTACCATAACCAACACGCTCCAATGGAATTGTCATGTCTTAGGTGTAATCCAAAAGGCCAACAAGAGAATATACTTTCTTATGTTACTTAAGCGCAAATGTTCCAGCACACAGTATCATTTGTTTCTATCTTACTTGTATAAGGCCAGTTCTAGAATATTGTGCCCCCCTGTACCATTACGCACTGCCTGACTACTTAAGTAAGGAAATTGAACGCTTTCAAAAACGTGCACTATCAATTATTTCGCCAGGCCTTTCTTGTGATGACAGCCTGTCAATGTTCAACATGGCATCTTTAGAGGACATACGCAGAGATCAATGTGAAAAACTGTTTGATTCTATTGTATCTAATCCAGATCATAAGCTGCATCATTTTCTCCCTCCCAAGAACTATTGTCATTATAACCTCAGAAGACAACGCCACTTTGCAAATCCAGTCATGCGTACCAAGCGTTTTTCTAGCACATTTCTGCCATCTATGTGCAGGCGTTAGCAGTTGTTTGTATAAAGTTTAATTCATCTAAAGTATAATTCTTATAAATTAGAATTCTAAAGTATAATTTTGTAGATTTTTTAGTACATTTTCATATTTTAAGTTTTGTATCAATTGTATTTGTACATTCGCGCGATTCAGCCTTGGTGGGCTGCCATATGATTTGAATTAAAGCTATCTATCTATCCCTATCTAGGTCCACGCCAAGGCAATGTACTCCAGTAACAATGCAGGCGTTGTGGGGAACTGAGTGATTTTAGGTACTTTAAAAGCGCTCAAACAAAAATATTCTAGTGCGAAATAAGATAATCTTGCAATGTATGCTGACATTTAATACATTGAAAAGTCTCGCCATGACACGGAAATGTTAGCACTTTAGAGGAGTGTGAAATATTAAATGGGATTAAGTGTCCACAAAGCTTATAACTCTAAATGGTGCTGTACTTCCTGCAAAAACCCTCTGCATCCTCTCATGTTGCGATTTATCGCAGATCTTTGTAATTTTAATGTTAATTTGCTATAACTCTGGAAAGTTTTCCCTTCACTTGCCATTTTGGCATTTCCCTGTCAGTGCAATTAAAGCATATCTACACGCAAAAGCCATTGCAGCCAATCTTTAAATAAAAGTTTCTTACCTGAAGGTTCACGTTATATTCGTGAGATTCCATTGTAAACTAGTAGCTTTTGAATAAGGGACAAGGGATCAACAATTATTAATGTATTTTTCAACTGGTCAAAGTTATTTATTCACATTACATCTGAAATACAGAATCATTCACTTCAATGTAACAACTACTTTCATTAGTACATCTAAAATATGGGGTCGTTTCGCCTTAAAGTGGATTCACCTGGACTTGTTATAGTAGATTCTACTGATGACAAACAACACTCTACAACACTGCTTTTAAAAAATGCTTTTTGCTTGGATTTTTTTTGCAGCCATTACTTAGGTCAAGTGTTCTGCACGATCTTAGAAAGCCCAACAATTGCTATGTCGATCTTGAATATATTTTGTATAAAGTTATCACTGCAAAATGTTGTGGATCAGTATATGCTGACACTTTTAATTTGATGCTTATTCCTTGACAAATCAACGTCAGGCAAATCCACAAGTGATATACATCAGGTCTTTAATGCTCACGAACCCCACCAACAACACTATACTCGAGTCTTAAATGCTCATTACATTAACCCCAACAACAACTCTATACACGTCATATACTTCATTCTTTATCCACCAACCCCAGCTATGCCTTCCTAATTTGAATCAGCCATTCTTGTTTTACAGTATTTGGCAACTTCAGGACTGCCTCCGAAGAATAAGAACACTTTTACACTGGCAAGGCTAAAGTGCAGGTCACAGGTCAGGTTACAGGTCACAGGCCACAGGCCAGGTTACAGGTCACAGGCCACAGGCCACAGGTCAGATCACAGGTCACACACAAAAACAATAGGACACTGGACAAAACTGTTCTTGATTGACATTTTATTATACAAAAATAGAACAAGCCAAGGAACCGCGATTATATTTTTTCTGTTCTGAACTTTACCAAATCCCACACATGAGAAAATATATTCATGTTGATCACTTAAGGAGAACTTCCATTACAGCCTAACCAAAGTTGGTAACGAAATCACAAAGGTACGCAAAATCACGTGATTTGTTAGAAAAAACGAATCTCAAAACGAAGAGTTGTTGCGTTAAGCATATTATGACGTGTTTGTGGATGTTTTGAAAAGCACTCGACAGGAAAACGGAAGAAAAACTTATGGACAGTCTAAAATTTATTTGACCACTGAAATACGGCAACTTTCTTCAGACTTTTCTCGTCCTAAACTCTTCTTGCCACTAGATCGGTCTTCCATCTCTTTTGAAGATGGCGGCCTGTTGCTCGCGCTTCGTACCAGTCACAAAATACTGCTATGTTAAAGTGTAGTCGGCTAAGAACTTCAGACACTGCTATTTGGGCCTCTCAAATAGTTGCTGGACCATATTTCTCGGCACTTCTCCCAAGAGCTTGCCATTTTCTCACGTTCTGTTGCACAACAGCTTGAAAAACCTCTGTTGGATTTACCTCGTGGGCCTTAGGTGGGAGCTTTCCGCCATTACAACTTAAATCTTTGACTCTGTAAACAGCTGATGTATCAAAGGATTACAGTGCTGCATTTCAATGACTCGCTCCACGTTATCTTGGCGGCACGGTTTATTTGGAGATGACATTCTAATAACACGACAACACTTCGTTTTCTGTGAAAAATATGTGATTTATTTTTCGGACAAAATGATTTTGCACACCTTTGTGATTTCGTTATGAAGTTTGGATATGCCGTATGATCAGCATGAAAATATTATTCCATGTGTGGAATTTAACATTGTTTAAAGGACAAAAATATCATCAAGGCTCCTTGGCTTATTTTATTTTTGTATAGTAAAACGTCAGTCCAGAACAGTTTTGTCCAGTGTCCTAAAACCCTCACTGGACTTGTTATAGTAGATTCTACTGATGACAAACAACACTCTACAACAATTTTTTTTCAAAATGGCGGTGCTATACATGTGTATAACATGTAATAAGTATTGTTCATTTTTGAGGGTACTTATTTACACGAGTACCCATGTGTAGTGAACATGTGCAAATCATGCACAGAATATTACATTTGTTATACACATGTGTAACCAAATTATAGCACATGTGGGGGCAGTGTGGGTAATTGTGTTTGCAAAAAGATTACTATGAGACACATTTGATCCAAAGGGTATGCTCACTTAGAATAAAAATGTATGCATCTCAATGCAAGCTTCATTAAAATGGACTGGTTATGTACAAGCATTTAAAGAACTTTTGCACTAATATTTTTGTTAGCCACTGCACAAAGGTATTGTAGACTCAGATACTGATCCATGCAAACTTTTCAACGATTTTTTTTTCAAAATGGCGGCCAAAAAACGCGCGCAGGGCAGTTTTAGCTTTCTTTTGATATATTCATTAAAGGACTGGGTACAACAGAAGCAAAAAAGACCGCCATTTTCAACTTTTCGGAAGTTTTAGCTTTCTTTTGATATATAACTTGCCACAGCAGAATAAACGAAAACAAATTCCTCTCAGCATGCTGGGACACAAAAATGGTGAATTGGATTGTTCCGACAAGCCTCAAAGGTATGTTTTTATTGCAAAATTTATTATTTCACGTCGAAATTAAAAAGTAAAAAAAAAGGAAAATGATACGATTTAAGTTTAATGTATATTCTACCCAAATCTGCTAAATGAGGGGCGCCAAATCGTGGCACTAAAAAGTTAAATCAAGGGTGTTTTTTTGTAGTGAGCTTTCCAAAGAAGAACCTCCCTTAGTCACGAGAAAGAGTCGATTCCCAATTGGATTGTATCAAAGAGAGAAGAAAAACCGTACCATTTGCCAGGTGTAGCTTCGCCTGGATAGCATTGAGGAAAATATCGAAGCTATCCAAGCTTTGAAAGCTGAGGCTCAAAGACAGAAAGAAGAATTGGCGCAACTCACAAAGAAAGTAAGAACCATAGAGGGAAAAATTGCAAGGAGGAAAAGACAGGTAAGATTTCTTTAAGTTATTTTGATACAATACAGGCTTGAAACTTCTAAAACTAATTAGCTTTACTGTAAAATAAAGGAAACCAAAAATTGCCCCCTAAAACTTATCTCCACCCACCCCTTGTCCCTTGTCTTTAAAGGATGTGGGGAAGTATCAGTGTTCCTCCCTTGCTTTTGTGGAGAATTAGTGGAAAAAATATTCTCATAATCTGAGGTCGCACATAATATGAATGAATTGGTTACTTGTATTTTATTGAGAGTTATTAACATAATTAGTATAGGATGATGCTTTCTTTAAAAATGTCCTTTAGATTCAGATCAGTGAGACTCAGGATGACTTGGGAAGTGCACCACCAGCAAAAGTAGCAAGGCGGCCTTTAGTTTCCAGTAAAATATTAGGAAGTGATAGTCAAAAATTAAACCTGTCAAAGGCTCAGTTTCGTGTTAGGAGGAAGAAAACACAGCAGGCTTTAAGACCTATTCATTGCGGAAGTCCTCCTTTCATTCCAGAAAAGGAAAATATTAAAGCAGTGAATGATGGTCTTTAAACAACTTTGATCAATTCAGCAACAGAAGGGGAAATGAAAGAATATATCGAAAATTCCACTAAGTGTATGGAGTCGGTATTGCCAAAAATTCTGGAAAACAAGGTCAATGACAATAAAAAAAGCCAGAAAAATCAAATTTGCAGTATGCGTATTTTGTATGAAAATGGACTTCTTGGGAAGAGAAAATATACAAGTATTCGAAATAGCTCAGACATAAGTAATATGCGGGATGGAAAGAAGAGGAAAAACAGCAAGACAGTTATCATAGATTCCAAAAATTCTGCCCTACAAAAGTCTCATGACATTTCTGAGAGCAATTGACATTGGAGAAGTGCAAGATTTGTCAACGCTTGCAGAGAAACTGTCCATAGAACCAGTTCCAGGTGTTTACAGACCACTAGAACCATTTCTCTTAAAGCTAGCAGATCTTTACCTTGAACTCCAAGCAAAAAGCACATTGCTTCATTGGTTTAATGCAGAGGAGAGAGTGTTCTGGGTAGCTGTTGGAGCTGATGGTGCCCCATTCGGCAAAGATGATTCAGCTACCGGTTAGTTAGATAGTTAAAGTAGTGAGCTACAGAGTAGACATAACATGTAGTTTTACAGGATATGACAGGTATCTGTGTTATTTTTATAACAACTAGCTGTAGTAGGTTAAGTGACAGGTTTTTGTTTAGAATAGCTAGTTAGTGATGACTAGTTGACAGTTTTCTGTTTGTTTTCATAATAATATAATACTTTTGGTATCCAGTGACTCAACTGTGACGGGCAGTCATTAATTTCATGCCATGAAAATAACAAACTGCGTAACCGTTAGAACGTTTTCTTCATCCATTAGACATACTTACTTAGCCACTAGACCGTTAGGAGAAAGCGTTAGAACGTTTTGATCATCCGTTAGGCACAACTAGATAACCGTTAGAACGTTAGGACAAAACGTTAGAATGCTGTGAAGGCTGTTAACAATCCGTTAGCTATCCGTCCGTTAGAGAGCATTTAACGGATAAGCGTTAAGGTACGTTTTCCCGTGCACGGTCACATTTGCGTTTAGCAGCAAATTGTGTTGAAGAACATCCTCTGATGAAAGGTTATACAAAGCTTCTCACTCAAGAAATGGAAAAATTAGGGAATAAAACCTGTACAACTCCCAAGGGTAACCAGGTAAAGTTCAGATTCAAGTTAATTCCCTCAGATATGAAGTGGATTTCAACCTTTTCTGGAGAATTAAACAATGCAGCGACATATTTTTTTCCCTTTGTAAATGTGAATCAGACAAACAAGAACACTATTGGTGGCTCTATAGGTGGTAACCATGCTACCTGGCAACCATGGAGCTACAATGAAAGGTTAAAAATTGCAAAAAAAGTAGAGGATTTCAAGAAGAGTTTACAAGATCAACGTGGAAAGCAAAGGAGTAAAGTAACAAAGTTTAACTCAAAACAAGTCAAGACAGGAGTTCCCTCCCCCTCTGGGAAAATATGTAGGCATCATCAAACCCGAGCCCTTGCATAACACCAATAACGCATGGCAGCAGTGGTTTTCAGCCATCTTGAGCGTGGCTATTCAGTATACTCCATGTAATCAGTTAAATGCTGCAACTGTGTTATGAGAACTTCCAAGTTCTTGTGTTCTTATAAAATTCTGCAAGTGTGTTAGACTGTTCAACAGTTTTGCTCGATGGTTTTCTGAGAAGAGAAAAAAAGGGCTGACATTTTCATACGGATTTACTGGTTTAGAGTCAAAAAAATTTAGTTGGAACTTTTGTCTTCTGATCCATGAACTTCTCAGTATCCCTAACCTTACCAACTCCTCAGAAGTCCGACTTCATGCAATGGCATTTCAGGCTTTGCAATTAAGGGAAGGTGCAGCTTTGTACAGCAGGGTAAGGCTACAAGAACAGCTGGCAGAACTGAAAACCTGTTGCAATCAGTATTTCACAACCCAGTGTATATTTCATGATGGGGAAAATCCTACAACCTGGACAATAGGGTATGCAATACCCTACCATGTTGAACAACTGTTCAAGGAAAGTGGGTATGGACTTGGTTTGAACACAATGCAAGGGCGAGAGGTGAAACACATAAAACTGGCTCATTATGTGGAAAATACCTGCAATGTTCACAAAAACCAGAGGTGGTGGACAGTATTTTGACATGAGTACATTTCACTGGTATGGCTGAGAGAGCTAGACCCTAACAGTGTCACTTACCGCCGTGAGAAAGGTGAAGCAAGTGATTCCTATGTGCCCAAGAGGGTTGCCACAAAAAATCCTTTGTACTGCTTTTGTGGTCTGCAGAAATCGAGGTCTGATGATGCATGCACCATTTGTAGCAGTAACATAATGCAACTAGTGAAAGAAAGTGTGGCTGATGGTAGAGCAAAACCATCTTTATTAAGCTACACGAACACTTGAAATTAAGGCTAAAACAACCAGTACTATACTTAACAGTAACATATCAAATATGAGACGTGTTTCATCACCAGATTAAACAGCGAGAAAAGAGCGTAGCGGAGTATTTTTAACGAATGAAGGTGTTTGATCTGGTGATGAAACCCTGGGTCAAATATTTGATATTGCTCATGAAAAGAAACGATTTTTGACTGACAAATTAGAAATGCAAAACAGAGCTGTGTTTCATTGCTATATCCAAACGCCCACTAAACGTTAATTTCCTTTGTATTTTCTTGATGAATTATTAATGAGTTTGAGAAGTCAAGAGAAAGAGGCATCTAATGCATTTACTTCTAAAACACGGAATTGAATTGCACTCAATCCATAAAAAAAAAAATACAAAAAACAAAAACAAACTGTTCCAGTTTCAGTGCTGACTGATTCCAAAAGCATTTCAGTACCCGTAATGCAAATTAAATTGTAACATTTCTTCTCTAAATTGAATGGAGTTTAACCAGCTTGCTGTGATATCTGAAGGGTGGCCCTATGAGACTGCAGTGCCCTAAGTGGGCATAAACTTCAATAATCAGCCTGGTCATAACTACACCTCTTGTTGAAATCTTCCATTAAAATAAATTATTACAAATTTAAACAATAACATGATACATCATGACTGTAATTGGATCTTTTTGCCATTGCGTGGCAAAAGGATTATAAAAATATCAAGTGCTTGCAGCAAATTCTAAGAATGTGGTAACCTGTAAACTAAACATGGCATTACCCCGAGGAATCCTAGCATTGCAAGGAAAAACTCCAAAATGGAAATCACTGGCAAGGAGAAAGTGATGGAGGCCAAATAACAGCTGGCTCTACCATGAGGTAAGTCACAAGACCATCCCCAGCTATAGTTATGTTTCTCAGATTCTTTATAAACAAGCAATGAGTGGAATACATGCAATTATTAGTTACTATGAAACGAACAGTTAGTAAATCAGTAATCTGCATGGAAAATTTGTTTTAGAACCCAACAGTCACTGCAATAATTATTGATAGTTATTACCAGGTTAATAATTGATTGTGTTTATCGTCATGATAACGAAATTTTCTGAGGGGAGTACTCCCTTACATTTGTCTTAAAGGTATTGATCTGATTTAAAATCTAGAGTAAAGATTTGGCCAACCGAACAACACACCCCCCTAACAATTCCCAGAAATACGCCCCCAGATTGCTTGATTAATCGTTGATAGAGGCCGTTTACTGAGCACACAAATATGCTAAACTTCTGGTGGGTTCTTGCTCACATTTGCAGATATTAACCTGAAATAGAGTACACAGTCAGGTTTAGGGAATGAGTCGACACATACCCACCACAAATTGCTAAGGACATACCCCCAGAGAGAAATCAAAGGTATTTTATAAAATGGCCTATGGCAAGCACAGTTAATAATATCATAACAAAGTCAAGAGAAATAGTTGTGAGAATTCATATCATATATCATATATTACCATAACCAAAAACGAAAGAAAATAAAATTTAAACCAAGGGTAAAATTGAACCACAACATAAACAGACAAGTCTGGAGAATTTGAATGTTGATATTGGGGCTTAAAGGGTTCAACACAATAAAGGAAATAAAAAAGTTTAGTGTGAACTCCACTTTATTCAGTGCTGTGGGATGTGTGGTAAATGACATTGCGAACTGAGCTATGAACTAGGAACATTCAAACTGCGAGTTTTGTGATAATTCGTGTAGTGTATATGTAGTGAGATTTGTCCTTATATAAGAGCCTGCAATCCTCGTGGTTGTAGTTTTACCGCCATGTTGCATAGAATGAGATTTGGTGATTAAAGCCTGATTTTTCCGGCAAACGTCTTCCTTAGTTCACTACAATTTAATCACCAATCTCAATGGACAAAGTGCTCAGACCGGAGCGCTTGGAAACGGACCCTAACAGTGGCGAACCTTCGAAAGAATGGCTACATTGGAAACGAACGTTCGATAACTTCTTGACTGTCCTACCGCAGGATGACCTCGATAAGCTTTCGGTATTGGCGAACTTAGTGTCTCCCTCAATTTTTCAACACATCGAGGAGTGCACAGAGTATGAAGCAGCGGTGGGAATATTACAAGCACTTTTTGTGAAGCCTCAGAATGAAATATTTGCCCGCCATTTACTTCCGACGAGGTGCCAACAACCTCACGAAACGCTGGATGAATTTCTTCAATCTCTGAAGACACTTAGCAAGGATTGCAATTTCCAAAGTGTTACTGCCTCTAAATACCGCGAGGAAAGCATCCAGGACACTTTCATTACTGGGCTACGTTCACCTTCGATACACCAGAGGTTATTGGAGAACAATACGCTAGATTTAAAGACTATGTTTGATCAAGCTCGGTCTCTAGAGTTGGCTATGAGTAATTCCGAATCCTACACTAGTCCTCCTTTGTCTGTAAATGCAGCAGTTCCACTCACCGCTACGGAGGTTCAGGAGCAGATAGATTCTGGCACACTAGCTGCAGTAGGATCAGATGCCTCTACTTGTTTCTTCTGTGGAAACAGTAACCACCCTCGTTCAAGATGTCCTGCCCGAGATGCAGTTTGCTCTAAATGTCAGAAAAAGGGCCATTTTGCAAAAGTTTGCCGCTCGAAGAAGATCAGCAAGAACAAAGTTTCGGCTAAAGCCTGGTCTCCCACACTTGCCACAGTGGGTGCCCCTGAATCCCTGTCAAAGTCTTTGGGAACTGTTACTGTCGAAGGTTTGGAAGTCAAAGCCCTATTTGACAGTGGCAGCACTGAAAGTTTTATTCATCCAAGGTTGGTGGAGAAGGCCGCTCTCACCATTCATCCTTCATCTGGTAGAGTATCCATGGCTACCTCAGTGTCTAGTACAGTCAGTATCACTGGTACGTGTACCGCTAACCTCACCTACCAAGGACGTGAATATGCAGGTTACCGTCTGTCCGTCTTGCCTGGGCTTTGTGCTGACCTAATCCTTGGTCTTGATTTCCAATCCCAGCATTCGAGTGTCACTTTCCATTACGGGGGATCCGAACCACCTTTGGCCATCTGTGGTTTTAGTACGTTGAATATAGATCCACCTGAGCCGTTTGCGAATCTGGCGGCAAACTGCCATCCAATTGCCTCGAAGTCTCAAAGATATAGTCGGGAGGATTCCGCCTTTATTGATGAAGAAGTGAAACGACTACTCAAAGAAGGCATCATAGAGCCGAGCCTTTCACCATGGTGTGCTCAGGTCGTTGTGACTAAGGATGAAAATCACAGGAAGAGGCTAGCAATCGACTACTCACAAACAATTAACCGATTCACACTTCTAGATGCTTTCCCATTGCCCAGAATAACCGACATGGTCAACAAGATCGCCCAGTACAAAGTCTTCAGCACCATTGATCTTCGAAGTGCGTATCATCAAGTGCTGCTCAAGGAAGAAGACAAGCCTTACACAGCCTTTGAAGCTCAAGGCAACCTCTATCAGTTCACTCGCCTGCCCTTCGGGATCACCAATGGAGTAGCCTGTTTTCAGAGAGAGATGATGAAGTTTGTAGATGAGAATGGTCTTGAGGCGAGCTTCCCCTACCTTGACAACGTTACTATTTGCGGCAAGGACCAAGAGGATCATGACGCTAACTTGAAACAGTTCCTTGAAGCTGCTAAACGCAAGAACCTCTGTTATAACACTGAGAAGTGTATTTTCTCAACCCGGTGCCTTCCCATCTTTAGATACATCATCGAAGAGGGTACCATACGGCCAGATCCTGATCGTTTACGACCCCTTCGAGAACTCCCCATTCCACACGACCCAAGGTCCATGAGCAGGTGTCTCGGATTATTCTCCTATTATTCACAATGGATCCCAAAGTTCTCGGATCGAATCAAGCCAATTGCCTCTTGCAAGACATTCCCTTTGCCCCCACCAGCTGTTGAAGCATTCGAGAGCCTCAAGAAGACGATAGAAGACGCTGTTGTCACTGCTATTGACGAGACTATTCCCTTTGAGGTTGAAACCGATGCTTCTGAGGTAGCATTAGCGGCCACTCTTAACCAGAATGGAAAACCTGTTGCCTTCTTCTCACGAACTCTTCAAGGCAGTGAACTGAAGCATGCATCCATAGAGAAGGAGGCCCAGGCCATAATAGAAGCGGTGAGACATTGGAGACAGTTCCTTGCTGGAAGGCACTTCATCCTGAAAACTGACCAGAAATCAGTGTGTTACATGTTCGACTAGCAACACCGAGGGAAGATAAAGAACAAGAAATTCCTGCCTTGGAGACTGGAACTCTCCTGCTTCAGCTTTGATATCGTCTATCGGCCAGGTAGAGATATGTCCCAGCAGATACACTATCCAGGGCTATGTGTGCCATGGCCACTGAAGATTCCCTCTTCAAGCTTCATGAGGCTCTCTGCCATCCAGGTATCACCAGACTAAATCACTTCGTGAGAACCAAGAACTTACCTTACTCCCTTGAGGAGATTAAGAAGATGACAAGCCGGTGCCCTGTATGCTGTGAATGCAGACCTCAGTTCCATCGCCCAGAGAAGGTTCCC